TTTTTCACAAAAATGTACAATCTGATGTTTAATTTGACTGCTCTTTACTTTGTTACATACTGAAACACACATTTCATTATTAGACTGTGGATATAAGTTGTAATGTGGTTTAAGCACTGACCAAATATAAATTGGGGACCAGCAAACACGCTACCCCAGCAGAGGTCCAAGTATTCTTTCCAATTTACAGTCCATGTAGATGAAGCGCAGCGGAAGCAGGAAAAACCTGCAGTTACACTGGCTATGTTAAAGAGTGAGCAGACTTGCTCTAGACTGCTGAATATTGTTTGCTGTGGCATTGTGCTTAAAAATTAATAAATGTTGTAAGTCATTATGCAGTGTACTGTGTGTGATGTCATTTTTTTCCAGAACAACTGCACTTTTTTTAAAAAAATATATGGTAACTGAGAAATTTGTCTCAGTAAAAGGCAAATATTGAAATGCACTTTATCCGGTTGCCACACTAAGTAAATGCAATTAGCAGAAATGAAAAGTTTGTTTTAATTGCCTTATGTGATAGTCCTTGTATTCACACTTTTCTATCACAGTAACTGCTACTTCAGCAGCTGTTCTGTTGGTTAAACACATTTGTATTTCTTGTATGCATCCATAGATCAACACATTTCACATGAGACTCTGATAACGAGTTTTGCAACCAATCGAAAATGTGAGAGATTGTTTTAGTTTGTGGGATGGGGGGGCAAGTTTTTTTTTTCCCGAAGGTTTGAGATGCACCTTAACAGAGGACATGATTATTTTGAAGAAATGGCTCCTTGGTGGCAATTTTCCGATTATATGATGTTTTAAAAACCATGCTCAGATAAACAGATTTTCAATTAAAGAATCTACAATTTAATTTACATTGTAGGGAAGTAATAAACCTAGTACATCCCAGTACTGTAAGTAGCTAACTTTCATAATAGAGGTGGGTAGATTGATACCAATATCGATCGTGTCAATAAGAATGGTGTCAGATACTTTAGAATCAGATTGCTACCAAAATCTGCAGTATCTCACTGAAGTATTTCATAATTATCTGACCATATATAACGTATTCAATCATATAGTAATGCACACATTGCATGTACCCGCCCATGTGTGGCTCAACAATCATGGCGGATCAACGCATTTTGTTCCGCTGACGCTAGTGACTCTGACCAATCAGAATCTTCCCGAGCCCTTCGTCCTAACCAATAGGCTGCCTACGTACACCTCTCGAAAACATGTCGCCGATGAAGCTGTGCGTTCCCGGTAAGTCCCGTAATTTTGTCTCTAAAAGCGTTTAAAAACTAAATATGCTGGTGTGTAGATTGTATTTTGGGATATTTAAACAGATTTAACAGCTTTAGCGTCATTTTCTATTAGAAAAGGAAGTTAAACTGCATTCTGAGCGTGCGAAACCCTGGTGATTATTTCCAGCTGCCATGCGTGGAGTGGGCTTTGGCTTCCCGTACTTGTAACGCTGTTGTAACTTATTTTATAATCAATCACCTGTTGGATCAGCTGACTGTCAGATGGAGTCGGGTTTTCAGGTCTACCGTATCATGGTCTTTTACCGTATTTGCAGGGCTGTGAGTTATTGACTTTGGCTTTCCACTGCTGATGAGATCTGATCCGCAGCCCTGCCCATCTCCTCGGGCAAGATAACGCATTCCTAAGGTTTGTTTTGTCACACCCGTGGGAAAGCCGCATGTCTATCCGGCGCATGGCAGTAGTGAACCTTAAATGAGTTGTCAGCAGGGCAGGAGTAGCATTTAATTTTATTCTAATTACGGTTGAAAGAGCACAAAGTAGCAAGATAATTAATTGCAGTGCAAGAAAAATGAAGGGTAGTAATGTGTCACATGACATAAATTGTTTTGTGTTTTAATCTTATTGTCCATGATGTGTTTTGTGCTTAAGGGTTGCAGATACATTGTTAGTCCCACAATGCTGTTACATCAAAGCATCCTCAGTTAGTCTCTGTTTCAGTTAGCAGATGATAACCAAAATAAGGGAAACTATTATTATTGTTATTATTATTATTAGTTAAATATTATATAGTCTGTGTTCACCATTGTAACACAATATTCTGTTACAATGCTGGATGCTTATATTAAACATGGACAAAGTTTTAAATAATGATATGTACAGATCATCCCTGTAAGCCAGTAGCTCAGTTTCAGTTTTTTTTTTTTTTCTACTTTTGGATCTTTGTTATGTCCTCAAGAGAGGGAGGATGTTCAATCTGTTTGTGAAGTCAGTCAGATAAAGATGGTTGATGGAGATGTGAAAGGGCTGGGTTCGGATATGGAGCAAAGCCCAGTATAAGATAAAGATTATTTTTGGTGATGACTCATGCAACGATGTTTTTATTTTAGTTCTTTTTTTTAGAAGGAACAGTGCATCTCCAGAACCCAAACACTAACACAACATCTATGTCTTTTTGTTTGTACTTAGGTGACAAACTATGCAGCGCAGAAGACTGTATTCCTGGCACAGGAGTATACCTGCGACATGGCTACATATACTCGTCACTAGCAGGCTATGTGCTCAGGAAGAATGAGGGAGAGGAGGTAAGGGGTGTGGGTAAGACAGGGGAGGGGAAAGTTTGTTCAGCAGTGAGACAAGTACAAATGCCAGACTAAAGGTATTTTTGCAATGTCTGTTGACGTGAGTGAGCTGAACTAGTTTTGTTAATGTCTAAAGTGATTTGTACATCATATGGATAACTTCTACTGGGATTATTTTGTCTCCTTAGTTACCAGTGATTTCAGTTGTGAGGGAAACAGAAACACAACTGCTGCCAGATGTAGGCGCAATAGTCACCTGTAAGGTATGCAATAGAATAAGAAACTGTTACTATCGCTGGATGTTCTGAGTAAATAATTGTGCTCAGTTTACAATCTGTTTTATTTATTTTTCATTTAACAGGTAACCAGCATCAATCCCAGATTTGCCAAAGTCCACATCCTTTATGTAGGTTCCACACCGCTGAAGGACCGCTTTAGAGGCACTATCAGGTAACCACAAAAACTGAGCCAGTTTTTGTCTAATATTATACTGGAGACTGTTCAGTACAATTCAGTTTTATTTATACAGAGTCAAATCACAATAACAGTTGCCTCAAGGCACTTTATATTGTAAGGTAAAGATCCTACAATAACACAAAGAAAACAGAAAACCCAACAATCATATGATTCCCTATAAGCAAGCACGTTGGCGATAGTGGGAAAGAAAAACTCCCCTTTAACAGGAAGAAACCTCCAGCAAAACCAGGCTCAGGAAGTGTGGCCAATAGGATAAGATGGGGACTGATTATTCCAGACCTTGTATGTGAGGAGCAGGATTTTGAATTCAATTCTGGATTTAACAAGTAGCCAATGAAGAGAAGCCAATATACGAGAAATATGATCTCTCTTTCTAGTCCATGCCAGTACTCTTGCTGCAGCAGTTTGTATTAACTGAAGGCTTTTCAGTAAGTTTTTAGGAAATCCTGATAATCACGAATTACAGTAGTCCAGCCTAGAAGTAATAAATGCATGAACTAGTTTTTCAGCATCAGTCTGAGACAGGATCTTTCTCATTTTGGAAATGGAAGAAAGGCGTCTTACATTTTTGTTTAATATGTGCATTGAAGGACATATCCTGGTCAAAAATAATGCCAAGATTCCTCACAGTGTTACTGGAGGCCACGGTAATGCTGTCCAGAGTGAGCATCTTTTAGATACTGTATTTCAAAGATTGTTAGGGCTGAGTACATTAATGCCACATTAATCATCCAGGTTTGTATGTCTTTAAGACATTCTTGTAGTTTAACAAATTGGTGTGTGCTATCTGGCTTAATAGATAAATGAATGAATAGATAAAGTCTAGTGTCATCTGTATAACAGCAGAAATGTATGCTATGTCTTCTAATGATACAGCCTATGGGAAGCATGTATAATGTAAACAGAATTCTAGAATGGAACCCTGTGGAACTCCATAGTTATTCTTCCTATCTGAAGAGGACTCTCATTTACATGAACAAATTGCAGTCTTTTAGATACGATTCAAACCGCTGCAGCGCAGGACCTTTAATACCTACAGCATGCTCTAACTGCTGTAAAAAATGTTATGGTCACAGAGATGTGTCCACTGTCAGAGGCCATAAGAAGCTCAATTGTAACCTTCACTAAAGCTGATTCTGTAAAGAAACTGTTAGAAATACCAGATAGGTAAGAATGAAGAAGCCTTTTTAAAGTTGCTGCTATCCTATGATTGGACTTAAACATACATAAAAATAGTAATTACTGCATCCAGATTTTAAGATGAATTCAAAAACACATTTTTCTATTTTATTTATTTATTTATTTTTTTCCAAAATGAAAATTAATCTCATTGTAATTCTCACCAGTACTTGCCCAGCTAGTCTTATTCAAATTCAAACCGATAAGTTGATTTAAAAACATGAAATAAACTCATTAAAGTCTCTACTTAAACTCCAATATATGTATGCCAAACTTTCAGACTGCTAATCATGTGAGATGGGCCTGAGGTGGCCAAAAGCAGGACCTGTTTTAACCCTCTGGGGCTCAAATTAAACTTTTTGTTGCTAATGCACAACCAAGTCCTGCAGTGGTACTTCTGAGTAAAAAAAAAACCTCATAAAATATGTATGTGGGGTAATCAGGTTGTTAGTTTTTAACTGTTGCAAATCGGCAACGCCTGCCTCGAGAGGGTTAAGGAGGTGGTTGTAGAAAATGAAGGTGGAGCAGTCGCATTGACAGCATTGCTAGACTCAGAATCAGCTCTAGGGTTGCTACAGGTTTCAAAATGATTATATTGTCGAGCAAGTTTTGAAAGTAATTTTAACAGAAGTATTTTCTTTCATTTCGCTTTGCTGAGCGAGATGCTCATAGCCGCCACCGTACAGATCTAACTCCAGCGTGAGGCAGGGTTTTATGGACATAATATTCTGGCCTAAACGCAAACTCACTCTCTGTTTCTCTACAGAAAAGAAGATGTGCGTGCAACAGAGAAAGACAAGGTCTGTTTGAATTCCACTTTTCCACTCACATCTTTCATTAGTTTCTTCTGCATGTAATCATTTTTATTAAAATAAGGTGACATGTTTATTGGTAACCGTTTTTCTTTCTTGTTACAGGTAGAGACATACAAAAGCTTCAGACCCGGTGACATCGTCTTGGCAAAAGTTGTATCCTTCACATTATTATGCCGTCACTGGTGGTTTTGAACATTTACATAATTGTGGACTTTGAATTCATTCCCCAGGCTGAGACTGTCAACACCAAGTTTTTCTTTTTTCGTTTCTAAATGTGCTTGAGGGAGAATATTTGTCACAGTCAAAATAACTCCTGTGCCAAAAATGTTAATAAGAGTGAACAATGGATGACTGGAAAGTATGCAGGTCATATGTAACTTTTATTTCTTCCTGGAAACACATCAGGTCACCAAGACACGGCTTAAAAAACAAAAACAAAATGTGATGTGTAACATGTAAACGTTTCATCAACTGCCTTTACAAATTCACCTTTCCATTTCTGGAATAAGAATTTTTAAATCCTGATTTGTATCCATTGATAAACCTTGACGTGACTGTGTCAGATTTCTCTTGGTGATGTTCAGTCTAACTACCTGTTGACAACAGCAGAAAATGAACTGGGAGTGGTCGTTGCACACAGTGAAGCAGGTAAATATCAAATGCATAAAATGGCCATTGGCCTTGAAGCGCTGGAGAATTCCAGCACCGTGCTGCACAGAATACTAACACCCTGTTGGACCACAAGGTGGTGCTATCTGATGGATTATCTTTCTACAGAAAAGCATTTGTTAGGTTTGTTATTGCCACTTGAAGACTGTGACAACACATGTGAGAAACATGTATCAGTCTTCTTTTAAACTACCACTGCTTTTTGCAGAATTATAATTGTGCCTAAGTATCAAAATGTCTGATTCACTAATCTGTTTGCTATGAAGCAATTTATTGTCGGTTAATAATGTAATCTTGATGTATTTTTTTTCACTCTGTTTTTCTGTATCCCAGGTGCTCAGATGGTTCCCATCAGCTGGTGTGAGATGCAGTGCCCACTTACGCACGCTAAAGAGTTCCGTAAAGTAGCGCGAGTGCAGCCCGAGTACCTACAAGCATGAGAGTCTGGAAATTCCTTCCTATCACAAGGAACCATCATCACAAGGAACGCACAACCCCGCCCATCTGCCCTTCAGTCACTCCTGTCAAGTAGCTTTCCAGCTCTGTTTTTCGATACTATCTGAGTAATGATTCACAGATTACTTCTGGTTTCGCGTGTCTTAAGTGTTTTGCAAAAAGCTATCTTTCATCTGTCCATGCTGTTTATTTAGTCATCTTTTCATTGTGTTGGATGAAAACCACTGAACAGAACAACTTAGAAAAAAAGTGGTTAAATTCCAAACAATAGCAGGTGTTGTTAAATCCACATGCCAGAAATGTGGGTGTGAAAAATTGCCTTTAAATTTTCTGACGGCAATCATATTAGAACTGTATCAGTTCACTCAAAATGTTGCATTGCAGCTGCCAAACTGTCACAAACCTGAAAACCAAATTGAGCAACTAGCCAGATGCAGGAGTCACTTAGTTTTACTGTTAAGTATTACAGTTAGAAATGTGGCAGGTCATCGGGTTGGTTAGTCGATAAATGGATGGATCTTTGACGTAAAGACAAAACTGGACTCTTTTATATCCATTTTATATCTGGAGAGGTGAGAAAAGGGACCCTGATCCAACCAGAAATACTACATAGGTAGCAATGTAGTTTTTCTGCTGAGATATCCATGCAACTAACCTGATTGGCCACGTTCATAGAAGTGAAAGACTTTGAGCTGAAAAGACTCTGAGCTCTTTTTTTTTTTTTTGTTCCTTTAAAACTTTTCAGTTTCTAGTAAAATAAATGTGATTAAAAGAAATGGAATACTGAAGTACTGCATACGATAGTCAGATATTTTTGATTTCCAGCATATTAACTCAAAGATTATAAGCGAAATACAAGAAAGCAGTAATACTAACATTTTCTTTGATATATACTGGACTTCTCTTATTCTTTCTTTACTGTACAGAAGATGTGCAAGAATGAAATAAAGCGACTATCCAAACCATCTGTGCAAGGTTTCCTCTTTACACACATTCATAAGATCACAATGAGAATTTTGATTATTTCCACATTGCTTTGCAAATTAAAATCATTTGACAATTATTATATTCTGTGTTTTACAATTTTGTGGCCCATCCTTTTGTAAACAGACCATTAATACATTTAACTCAATATATTCTAACCGAACTCTTTCTCAGGTACACCATGCTGGCACTGGGTTCATCACCCCTTTTGGCTTAAATGCTTTAATTCCTTTTCACATAGAATCTACAAGATGTTCAAACCGTTCCTCAGAGTTTGGTTAATGTTAACATGACATCATCACGAAGTTTCTTCAGATTTCTCTGCTGCACATCCATGATGGTGAATGTGTCATCCCGAAGGTGCTCTTTTGGATTGAGTTCTGGAAATGTTCAAGAATCCAGCTGAGATTATTTTAATTTTGTGACATGGTGTGCTAGCCTGGTGTTATCTTTGTACACTCTGATCATAAAGGGTTGGACATGGTCAACAATACTCAGTTGGTACTATGAGGCCCAAAATGTGCCAAGAAATTATTTCCCCACACTGTTACACCATCACATTCAACCTGAGCCACTGATACAAGAGAGGATGGATCTCTGCTTTCATGTGGTTTACTCCAGATTCTGACCGGTAGTGACTGTCTGGGTAGGATTCAACATCTTGTGGATTTAAATGCACTTATATATACCTCAGTTGTAACAATTGGTTATTTGAGTTACTGCTGCCTGCAGCAAGAACCAACAAAACATTTTCACCTAGATCTGCCAGTCACTGAATACTTCTGTTTTTCTGCACCATTCTCTGTAAATCTGAAGAGATGCAGGAAATGTTATGCAGGGAAATTCCACGTCATTCCCATAAATGATCACGTCACTCAACATCACTCCTTCCTCATTCTGATGTGCTGTTTGAACTTCAGCAGGTGCCGTGACCATGTTTGCATGCATAAATGCGTTGAGTCGTTTCCATGTGATCTGCTGATTAGATATAGTTGCATTAGACAGTCAAGTGTATCTAACAAAGTAATCAGTAAGTGTAGATGTCTCATTGTGATCTTTCCCCAAACTTATGTGTTTCACTATTTTACAAAGTAAACAGTAATCCTTAATCTATATAAAATCCCACAAACTGTTATAAAATAATGAGCTGCTCACACATTAAACCGGCTGCTTGTTTTCCAGCTGTTGGAGAAATGTTTAATATACAGTATATACAACTAACGATGTGTTTCTTTTTTTCACCAGTGTACATTTTACTTTCTGCAGGATCAATTCTACAGTAAAGCTGATTAAAAGAAAAAGTGTGCCAATTAAAACACTATGTACAAAAGCTTTGTAAAACCAAATCTTCACTTGTCAATCATCAAAGCGAACTGATCGACATGTATTGATATCAATTGAAAATTTCTTATTGGACGGTGCAGTAAACCCAAGTCCCGTCCCCCTGTTATTAAAGTCCATTCTGCGCGAGTGGGCTCGTTCAAACTCCCCCAGAAGGCCTTGCTGCAACTGCTGCTGTGCGTCCTTCCCTAGTGCCATATTTGCTCCACCAGTGCTCGTCGCCGCTGGCTGGAAACCCTTTTTAAAGCCCCCCATCAACCGGAGGAACTTCTGCTGTTGTTCAGAGCTGTTGAACTGCGCCGTGCTCCACTGGCCCAAACCCTGCAGAACAGAAACAAAAGTTCATAAACATTAGAAATGCATTCAGGAGTAAAGTTTCCACATTTAAGAACCTTCTTCTGCTTGAAGACTATAATTCTGTCTTAGGCTACGTCCATGGGTATTTTTGAAAACGGAGATTTTCCGTTTTCGTTTTAAAAAATAATCCCATCCACACGTAAAAAACGCTGCTAGGATCATCTACTGGTCAGAAGGTTGGTGGTTCGATTCCTGTCTTCCCCCCTTCCCCTAGCTTCCCCTGGGCAAGATACTAACCCCAAATTGCTCTCCGATGCATCCATCGGAGTATGAGTGTGTGTGAATATTAGCTATAAAGCACTTAGAAAAATGTGCTTGTGTGAATGGGTGAATGCACAAGTTGTGTAAAGCGCTTTGAGTGCTCAGATGAGTAGAAAAGCGCTATATAAGAACCAGTCCATTTACCACAGCTACATGCTGTGACAAACAAGTGCTTCTTCATTTAAAGGCATTTAAGACACGGGGAGATTGCAAACAACAAAACAAAAACAAAACAAACAACACTAATACCGACCGTAGGTTTGACTGTTTTGTCAGGTTGAGAGGCCTTGTCGATCTCCATTTGTAAAGCCTGTCTTCTTTCCTTTAAGACAAAAACAAACAAAACAATCATTAAACTGCACTGTATAAAACACAAAAAGCATTCTGATTTGCTTAGCTCTGGTAAACTCATTTTACATCGTGGGCCACATACAACCCACTTTGAGCTTAAGTTAAAATACCCTTTCTGACAGTGTAAAGATATTTAACTGCACATTTGATCTGTGAGATATCTCAATATATGAGGAAGAAGAGTAATTTAAACATTTTGTCTCCGCTTTTCAAGATGATATAAAAATGCTGCTCCTGTAATTATAAAGTGGAATTTTTTTTGTTGATTCCCAGAAAATGTCCTATTTTTCTAATTTATTTTTACTGTGGACACGCTTAAAAACAGACACCCATAGTAGACAGTGAAAACCCCCCATTAAAAATATTAAAAATAGTAACATTTCTGTCATTTAATTATCTATGACTTTATTACTGCAGTATGAATCTATTTATCCATCTTTATTTATAAAGCACTTTAAAACAACCACAGCTGACACAAAATGCTGTACATTGGAACTAAATAATAAAAATACATACGATTTAAATAAAAAACACATTTAAAAAAGCTCAAATAATTAAAACAAAAGCTAAAAAAAGAAAAAAGAAAAAAAAAGAAAAAGTGTTTTAAATCGAGTTTTAAAAGTAGACAGTGAAGGGGCCTCTCCACCTGCAGAGGCGACTGGGCACGATAGAAAAAGCCCAGTCGCCTCTGCGCTTCCTACTGGATCTTGGTCAGCTGACCTGAGACACTGACAGGATGTGCAGGGATCAGGAAGCGCAGAGAGGGAAGGTGGGGCAAGATTGTGAAAGGATTTAAAAACAAACGTAAGAATTTTAAAATGAACTCTAAAAGACACAGGCAGCCTGTGCAGCGAGGCCAGGACAGGGGTGCAGCTGCACTGTGAACCAGCTGCAGACGCGAAAGTAATGACCCACTGACACAGTGGTCAGTGACGTCAGACAGAAGCTACGGTTTAACAACTTGAATGAATGTGTTTCCTTTGACCTTACGCGATATATGTTACATCTTGCCCATAGTACATAAATAATGTCCCTCAGGGAATGTTTGATGCGACAAGGGCTGTTAATATACAGTGGGGCAAAAAAGTATTTAGTCAGCCACCGATTGTGCAAGTTCCCCCACTTAAAATGATGACAGAGGTCAGTAATTTGCACCAGAGGTAC